ATGACAGGGTTTAGACACACATATAATTGGTTAAGTATATAACACCAACATTCAAATATTGCAAATAACTAATGAAATTATACTTAACGTCCTAACGCCACTTTTAGAAAATTCAGACGAAAAAATCATAAACCAAATATTTACAAAACTTATATAATTTAATTGAAGCATTAATTTTGTATTTGAAAAAAACATTTAAAATACATTAAAAACCTGTTTTTTACAGAACCAAAAATTACCAACCGCATGATGTTCGAAAGATTACACGGAAATTTGTATTTCTTCAAAATTACAAATTTTTAGTTACAAAACATTGACTTAAAATCCGAATAACACGAGCCTCGCTTTATAAATATTAAATGCGCAACGGAATAACAATTTACTTGCAAATAAAGTAGAACTAGCCGTGTGGGCGTGGCTGGGGCGTGGCTGGGGGGTGGCTGGGGCGGGGCTAGCGGGTGTGGGCGGGGCTGCGAGGTCACTCGACGCTGTTGGTGGTGTCATTGACATCATCGAAGGACTCGTCCCCGGAGCCGGCGCCGGGCGCCAGCGAGGTGCGCTTCAGACGAGACGATGACGACGCCCCTGACAGACCGATACCTCCTCCTTGCCGTCTGTATACAATATACAATTTACAATCTGTATACAATTACGATATTTTATATCTGGTAGACCACATATATTCATTTTTAAATCTCTATTTCATACTCATATTATAATTGCCAATCTCTATAACGGCTTTCGATGTTATTTGTCACAGATGTAGAACATTCTATAAGAACATAGGCTACTCACTAAGTTAATTATAAATTCCGCGCGAACGAGACCGCAAGTAAAAGTTAGTTACGTTTATAAACTATCAATATGATAAAACAATTTATACTGAAAATAAAACCAAAAGTAGTCTTTTTAATTCTTTTCAAAAATCAATTATTAAACACGCACAATAAACTATAATAATTGAAATAGAAAAAATATCTTAAAAGTTTTTAATAGCATAATATTAAACACATTATTTTAATTAAAGCTAGCTTAATTAATAACCTCATTTTAGTGTAGTGATATTTTTTTTTATTTGAACTATAAAGCCTGCTAGACGCTCAGTTTTAAATAAACAGCGGAAATGTTCAGTTAACACTGTATAGACATTTTAACTATCAGTTGAATTGTAGTTAACAATTTTGTCCACAAGTTCAGTTTTAACTGATCACTGTTCAGTTAATAATGGTTTTTGGGTGACATTTGTATTGTCAGTTGAACTGTATACTTAAAAATTTGCTAAAACACAGTGATACCTGATCAGTTTGATTGTTCAGTTAAAACTGAAACTTTGTAGCAGACTAAGCTGAATAATGAGAACATTCGAGAAATGTATTGCATGAATCATGCTGTGAAAGCGATGACCGATCTCAACTTGATCACTCGACTGTTATTCATGAAGCAAAACAGACAGACAGACATAAAATCCCCTAAGCATCGTTCAAATTCAGCTAATAAAACATTTACACAAAACAAAACGTTGAATTTTTTTTTTAAAATCACACAACTATGTTTAATTACCATAAAAGAAAAAAAAAACTTTAATTTTTTATTTTTTTGGAGGAAAATAAAAAATCTCTGGTAGTAATTTATTAGCGGAAATGAACCCCGGCCGGCCAGCTCCTGTTACCTGTCTAAAGGCGCCGCACCGCTACCCACTAGCTACTAGTCACTAGTCACTAGCGTCTGAGAACGACGGCCTACACAATAAATATTACTAAGAAATTTTCCTAAACATAATAAAAAAAATATTTTTAGAACACCACAATGGAATCCAATCATATTTTCCTATATTTTAAATTATAAATTCAGTGCATAGTCTAATATATAAAAAATGGATTAAATCGCTATGTGTACTGTACTGTTAGTATGAATGATAATAACAATATGATTGTATGACAATGTATGACTTTATTGTATGTATGAAGTGTGTACAATCAGTTACAGCGGCGGTATTCAAATTCAAAAACTACTCGTTTGAACGCTTGTTACGCATTAAAACGCCGTCTTGGAACCAATAATCAATAGAATACACATATTAAAGTGGTAGGTGGTTAACTTATTTTTACTATTACACTATCGTTTAACTCTGTACTAAGTTTTTTTTAAGAAGAGAGTGTCTCGTTCCAAGGGAATTATTCTTAAACTGTAACACTGCGGATTTCCACGACTGTACCTAATGTTACCGTGTACTTATGTATAATATCTGAGTGCACGATGTGTATGAGTGTTGTATGTGTGTGTGTATGGGGGGGGGAGGGAGAGGGAGGAGGGACTGACCGCAGCTTGTTGCGCAGGTTGGAGCACTCGCGCGCGAGCGTCTCGTGCGTCTCGAGCATGTCCTCGAGCTCGCGCTGCGCCTTGCGCTTGCCGACCTTCTCGCGCTGCACCTCCTCCTCCGCCTCGTCCAGCTGCCGCTTCAGCGTCTTCACGCGCGTGTTCATCTGAAATACATCACAAAAGCTCATGAATAACAACACAACAAATAATAAATTGCGACAAACTTGTGATGGTCACAACTTTGTCACAAGTTTATCACAAGTTTGTCACACCTTTGTCACAACTGTGACACTAAATACCATAAAATAATCTGAACCAATCGCAATAACGGTTCTGATTCTTACTATTACTGTTATATACTACTTTCTTAAATAAATGGACGTTTGGGCAACAAGAAGACAACCCTCCTACTCTTGAAAATCTAAAAATGTATAGTTGATAATCAAGTAATACTAAAACTAGTAGATAGGTCTAGGACCTAGCCTAGATCATCTAATAGTCGCCTCATAAGTATAAATTTAGTATAATTATCGTCCAATTCGCTGCATTATCAGCAAAATACAGTATTTCGTAGGGAGCCATTTTGTATATGAGGGAACACGACATATGTACCTTCTCGATCTGCTCCTTGTACTGGTCCGCATGGCGACGCTCCTCATCCAGCTGCAGCAGCAGCTCCTTCATCTTCTTGTCCAGCTTGCGCGAGGCCTTCTGCTGGGCTAGCCGCTCGCGAGACTCCGCCTCCAGCTGCTCCTCCAGGTTGGACACCTTCAGCTCCAGCGACGTTATCACACCCTGCAACACACATTACTTTCTTTTAGATTTGCTTGCAAAAATCTTACTAACGTTTACAATCAGAAAGTTTAATATGGATTAATATTAGAATGTATCTCAGATGTGAAATTGAATTGAAATTGTATTCGTGTGCGGCAACTACCTTGGTCTTGGTGCGTCCCGCGGTCTCGAGCTCCGCCAGCTTGGCCTTCAGCTCCTTGTTCTGCCGCTCCAGCACCAGCTTGCCGCTCTCCATCTTCTGCGTGGCCGCCTTCTCCGTGCCCAGCTCCATCGTCAGCTGGTCGATCTGGTTCTACATCAGAAAGGCAATATACATCTTAGTTCTTAAAACACAATTGTGTATAAAACAAACTTATTCATTTCCAATTTTCGTTAAAATTACCTGTGATTTCCGCAACCTGTCGTTAAGTATCTCGTTGTTGGACTGCTCCTCGTCCAGGTCCTCCTCCAGAGCTGATATCCTGGCTTCCAGCCGCTTCTTCTCGTCTACGAGACATGTGTTCTGCAATACGCAAATTATGTAAAAAATAATATCACGTTAAGTTTCAATAAGATATATAAGACAAATATATAGGAGTGATTTTCATAGTAGTACTGAAGTGCATCAGCGATGATCGGACAGGGTGGAGAGAGAGAGAGAGAAGAACAAAGAAAGAGATGGGGAGAGATTGTAGAGATTTAGAGCAGTGACCTTGGCCGCGGCGGCTGCCAGCTCATCCAGCAGGTCGT